CGCCCGCCCGGCCGGCCGCTGGGGTCCCCCAGTTCCTGCCGCCACCCGAAGGCCCAGGCGCCCTCAATCTCCCTGGGTCTCGGGTCTCCGGGAGCTTCTGGGGACTTGACCCTCCCGTCCCTCTTCACTCCGTAATCAAGATGCAGGGCACTTTGATGGCTACAAGGGTCCTCTTTTACAGCCACGCTCACTCGATGCTGTCCCTAACCGTGAGCAATCACCAGTCCTTTAGAAACGATCGGTTTCTTTTAAAAAAATGCTGTCATTTCAGAACTGATAATTTTCTGTGGTTTCATGTAAACTGTTTTTACTCTTTGGTGTGTATGTGTGTACGCACTCAGGACAATACGTCACACATGGTGTTTCATATACCCAAACTAATTTTATTAGGCATTTTACATTTTTAAAAATTTACTTTTTAAAGTTTTTAGAGTTCGAGTCCTAAGCAGTTCCGTTTGTGAATGGATACTTGTTATGTGCAAAGATGTACTTTCTGGACAATTTCTCTCTCTCTCTCTCTCTCTCTCTCTCTCTCTCTCTCTCTCTGTGTGTGTGTGTGTGTGTGTAAAAGCATTCTTTTAAAATGGGAAAATAATTGGTGCTATTTTTAAAATTTCATAATGAAATATTGAAATATATATAATACTTAAGGTACCTTGTAGTAGAGGACAGTGTACACTGTGTAATTCATCCCTTCCTTCCTTTGAGATAGGGTCTCACTATGTTGCTCAGCCTGAACTCCTTGGGCACAAGGGAGCCCCTGCCTCAGTCTCCCGGATAGCTGGGACTTACACATATGCACCACAGTACTCTACTTGTGTTATGGAATTTAATCCAACTAGCAGGCTAAGTGATCACCAAAGTTATAAGTAGTTTAGATTTGACTTTCTATCCTTATAGTCTGGCTTACAAAGGAATGAAATACAAAAGAAATATAACAGTGTTTTATTTATTTATTTATTTATGGTATTGGGAATCGAACGCAGGACCTTGAGCTTGTCAGTCAGGTGCAACACCACTGAGCTAAATCCCCAGCCTTGTGTTTTGGAATTATCTACCTTTGGCTATTATCTTGATGGCACACTAAGCCTGTTTTCTTTTCCCAAGGAACTTACTTTGTCTGTTTTCCAAAGAGTAAGAATAAAGAAGTTTACTTAACACTTCAAATAAACATCTATATGAAGCTATTTTGCTAATTGAGGCAATTAGTGGGCCCAGGATTCAAGAAAATAAGTAATATATGGTACATGATTTTAAATTACATGTGTGTGGAACCAGGTGAAAATCTTTAGATCATTTAGGACCTCAACATGCTATGAGAAGGTAAACCTCTTATTAGCATTTATAACGTAGTTAAAACAGTATGTGCATACACCATGATTCTTTTATAAAAACCTGTGGTTCTAAAGGACTTTGAAACAGTAAAGATAATTGGCAATCGTACTATTTAAATTTAATGTATGTTGTTATTACAAAGAGTTTACCACTTTAGGAGGCTGAGGCAGGAGGAGGAGGATCACAAGTCAAGCCTAGCCTGAGCTGTTTAATAACATATTGAGTAAAACTCTCCCAAAAACTAAACAGGGCTGAAGATGAAGTTTGGTGTGAATGAATGCCCTAGGTTTAATTCCTTGTACTGCAGACACACAAAACCACACAAGAGCTTAAAGTTGTGCATAAAAAAGATAATTAGCTCAAAGCACTTAATAATATAGGGGTGGAGAAATTTGTTACCTATGCTTAAGTGAAAAGTATGCCAGGAATTTATAAAAGTTCTGAATTTATATATACCTAATAATATTCAGGACATATTAGGATGCATTTGTCTTAAAATCAAAAGGTTATTCAAAGTTTTATTCTGTGCTCCAAATCATTGTTCTTACATGAACATTTGTGTTTTATTATCAAAACATTGGGACATTGTAGAAAAAAAAAATAGAGCAAAGGCAACGGTCTCAGTGTTTTCTTAAAAAAAAAAACTGGACAATTTAAAAAATAGCCTATAGATGAACCTATAAGAGGATAGGACTTAAAAATGGCAAGTGGGGGAATGTTAAAATTTAATGGTATAGGTTGAATTTTTTAAATGTTTGAATGATTAAATATTGTACAATTCCACTTTACCTTTGTAAAGTGTTGTTTCAGGACCTTTGCTTTCCTGCTTGGAATTTTTCATATTTTGATTTATTTTTAATTAATTTCTACTCATTCTTTATGGCTGTTTGCATGTTGATTCATCAGGGAAGCATTCCCTGAACAGTCAGTTAAGTGTCTTAATTTATGCTTCCCTGGCTCCTAGTATTTCTCTTTTATATACTTATTGCACTTACCAGTTATTTAAATTCCATTTTCCATACTAACCATAAATTCCATACCTACCATAATTCTTAGCAGAAAATAGGAGTTCAAAATATTTAAAGAGAATGAAGGGAGGAGTACTATGTTTACTAAGTTTTTGCATCTTTTAAGCAGTTGTAACGGCTCAGGTGAGTAGTTTGGATATGTAAGCCCAAAGGCCGCCCTCAACACATAGGGAGCTAGTGGCCAAACTGGGACTAAACCCATTTCTTTGTTGCTGACTTCTGTGTTCTTTCTACCTTACTTTGTAGGCACTGGAAAATTATTTTTAGTTGGTTCTAGAACTTCCTAACAGCTTTGATGTTAGCTATTGAAATAAGTCCTCTGTTTAGGTCTTTGGCTACCAGTGGCTTTCCAATAATGGTGAAATTTGATTGCTTTTTTAAAACTTTATTTTTTATTAGCACATATTTGTCGTACATATTGATCGTGTTCATCATAGAAAATTTGTACCTGTACATAATGTACCTTAATTATTTTTCCCCATTCACTTCCTTACCCTTCGATCCCTCTTCCTTTCTCCATTTACAAACGCTTTGTTTCCATTTTGTTCTTCCATCCCTTTTTCTTTTCCCTTTCCTTCTTTTCCCCCTGGCTGCTTCACCCTCCCTTGTTCCCCTTCCCATTTGAACATTTTCTTTCTACTTCCCAATATCTAACATCATTTTGGTCCTTATTTACACTTTTGAGATCTCATTGAAGATCATCATGGGAATTTGAGTGGGGGGCTGATACGGAGAACTTTAATAGGTAAGTCCCTGGAGGTGTGGGCAGTGGGAGTGGTATTTACGGCTAAAGCTGGCCTCAGAGACCTGGAAGATCTTTAGGGTATTCTGGCTCCTAAGAAAAGCCTTATCAAACCAGGAGTTTTTGAAAAACACTCAGGAAAAAGTGTGTAATCTACTGGAAGTTGACAACAGAGCTAGTACTTCAAAGAGTTGTTGGGCTAATAACCTACCTAGATCAGGGAGAGTCCACAGGGAATTTATTCCACAGAAGGCCTGGTAGTCAGCTGCCTTGCGATTTACTAGCTGCTCTCCTGGGCTTTTGAGCATACTGTGAGGAGGTATAAGTGGTGGAGAAGACACTGGCAGACAAAATGCAGCACATCATTGAAAAGGATCGTGCATCACAACCCAGGAATGTAGGTATGGTTCAGTATATGCAAATCCAATAAATATAATACATCATGTAAACATAAAGTAAAAAATCACACGATTGTCTCAATGGATGCAGAAAGCATTTGACAAAATTTAGTATCCACTTATGATTAAAAACCCCAATGAAAATAGGAATAGAAGGGCCTTATCCCAATTTTATAAATGTGGCATGTGACAAACCAATGGCCGCATCCTACTACATAGAAGCTGAAAGCTTTCCCTCTAAAATCAAGAACAAGACAAGCAAGTCCAGATCACCACTTCTGTTCAATACAGTTCTTGAAACATTAGAGCATTATACAAGAGAAAGAAATAAAAAGGATATTGATAGGAAAGGAAGTTAAATGATCACAATTTGTAGATGAAATGATCCTCTAGAGAGAAGAGCCCAAGCACTCCACCAAAAGACTCCTAAAACTAATGACCAAATTCAGTGGTGTAGCATGATACAAAATTAGTGCTCAAAAATCAATAACACTCCTGTTTGCAGATTACCAACTCACTGAGAACAAAAATACAAATGCCTTTCACAGTAGCGTTAAAAAAAACAATTAAATATGTAGCAATTAGCCGAGTCAAGAAAGTGAAAGACCTTTACAATATCAAAGAGGATATCAGAAAATGAAAGAAATCCTCCCTTTGGATAGGCAGAGCCAATATAGTGAAGATGGCCATACTTCTAAAACTCTTATAGAGATTTAATGCAATCTCCAAACCAGTAGCATTACTTGCAGTTGTGGAGAAAGTAATCCTAAAATTTATATGGAATCAGAAGAGAACTAGAATAGCAAAAGTAATTCTGGGCAACAAGGACAAGGCAGGGGCATCATGACCTCAGACTTCGAATTACAGTACAATGCTACAGTGATAAAAATGAATGGTATTTGCAGCAAAACAAACCAAAAACAGATCTGTGGATCAATGGAACAGAATAGAGGATGTGGGATGAACTCCAAGCACATTCAGCTACCTTTTGTACAAAGGGGCAACACCTTTGCTGGAGAAAAGATAGGTCTTCAACAAATGGCGCTGGGAAAACTGGATTTCCACATCCCAAAGATTGAAACTGGACCCCTTACCTCTCACCATGCACTGAACTAAACTAAATTGGATCAAAGATATAAACATTAGAATAGAAACAATCTTCTGGAAGACAAAATAAGTAAAACAGTTGGAGACATAGGTGTAGGCAAAGACTTTTTTTTTTTAATTTGTTTGTTTTTTTGTACAAAGGTCTCCCTTCGTAGTTCAGGTTGGCCCTGAACTCGCTATGTAGCCCAGGCTGACCTTGAACCCACAGCAATCCTCCTGCCACAACCTCCCAAGTGCTGGTAGGCAAAGACTTTTTTGATAAGACCCTGACTGCACAAAATATAATACAAAGAAATAGTAAATGGGATCATATCAGATAAAAAAGCCTCTACACAGCAAAAGAAACCAACAGAGTGAAGAGACAACCTACAGAATGGGAAAAAATTTGCCAGCTACTCCTCAAAATATTAATATTTAGAACATATAAAGAACTAAAACATTTAGATCCCCTAAAATTTAAGGCCCAATCAAAAAATGGACATGAGATGCATAAGTACATCTCAAATGAAGAAATACAAATGGCCAATAAATGTATGAAAAAATGTTCAACATCAGTGGCCACTGAAGAAATGCAAATTAACATTAAGATTCCATCTCCAGGAAAAAAAAATGACTATCATCAAGAAATCAACCAATAAATTCTGGCAAGCCTGTTGAGTGTAAAGAAACCCTTCTTCATTGTTGGTAAGAATTTAAACTGATGCAACCATTATGAAAATTAGTAAACTCAAAAGATTAAAGCTAGATATTCCATTTGAACCAACAATTCCCCTTCTTGGTATCTTCCCATTAAAGACATCGTGTTACAGAGATGTATGCATACCTACGTTTATAGCAGCAAGATTCGCCATAGGTAAATCTTGGAAATAGCCTATACATCCATCAGTAGATGAATGGATAAAGAAAGTGTGGCGTTTATGCACGATGTACTACTCTGCCATAAAGAAGGAGAAACGAGTCACTTGTAGAAAAATCGATGCACATTGAGACCATAAATAAGACACATAAGCTTAAACATCATAAGATTTCTATGGTATGAAAAACTCTATAAATTAAGTTGAAACCAAAGACATAATAAAAGAGAAAAAGTTATTGTTATTTAGCATGGACAATGTATCTAAAAGTATACCTTGATTTAGTCTATGTCTTTATGTATTTTGTATGTTTTTGGCCAATTAGTCTGGTTGTTAATCTGTATATATGACATTTAACTTTAAAATGACATACATAGATGAATCCCATGCTGGCAAAATAAAAGGGGGGTGTTGGGAATGGGGAAGAAAAAGAATTGAGATGTGTTATATGCATGTACCATTCCCTACAGTGAATGTTATCATTATGTACTGCAAACATATACTAATACAAATTAAAATTAAATAGAAAAATGTGTTAAAGTGGTAATTTTTATATTCTTATCACAGTAAAACAACAAGAATGAGGTAATAAAGCAAAACTATAAAGAAATTTTTTCCCTGTCCCGGGGATCAAACCCAGGGCTTTTGTATGGAGCTACATCCCCAGACCTTTTTTGTTTATTATTTTAAGATAATGGGGCCGGAGATTTAGCTCAGCGGTTTGGTGGCCTGCCTTGCAAGTGGAAGGACCTGAGTTCAATCCCTGGTACAAAAAAAAAAAAAAAAAAAAAAAAAACAAAACAGATAGGGCTTGGTTAAATCAATAAATTTCTCAGACTGGGCTTGAACATGTAATCCTCCTGCCTCAGCTTTGCAAACTGAATGAGGGCGCTACTATTCCTGTCTACAATAAATTCTTTTAAGTCCAACTTTCCAGAAATAACCTATGTCAACATTTGCTACTTATCCTAGTACCTTATTCTGTGATTTAAATTTTTTATTGTGAGAATTCAGAAGTTATCTATCCAGTACAGTTAATAATATAAATGTCATCTACAAACATTGGTTTCATTTCGTATGAGCTATGACTCCAGAGTGAGCCAGAGCTCTGTCCAACGCATAGCTAACTAGCTAGAGTGGAGTTCACACTTGGCAATTGTGGCCTTATAGAAGATGATCTAATTCATCCACCTTTGACCTAAAAATGATGACCGAATGAAACTGGAAACTCTGAAAAGTTGTATTATTTGGTGATCCTCTGTTGGTCCATTTTTATGTATTATTCAAAATGTTTTTTATTTGTCTTTTAAATGTTTCTGGATATAACATTATAAAAGAATATTAGTAATATTTGTTGTATGTGTCACCAAGATAAGATTTGAAAGACAAGAAATAATGAGTTTAATAAACTGGTATAGATTTAGAAAGTTGAAAGGCACTTTGTTCCAGTTTGAATTCTGTCATTGTCTTTCTTGTGACCTTTGACTCTAAATAGCATCAGTAAAGCAGAAATAGTAGTTGGTGATTTTTGCAGACTTTATAGTAAACAAAGTTAATATAAAGAGTTGGAATATCTAATAAAATAACCAAAATGTAATTATTAGTATCTCTTGCCCCATCCCCTCAATTTCCAGTATATAATATTTAATAATTATCCATAAAGATTGTCTGAATTCTAACCTTGTTTTACCATTTACTAGTTGTGCAAATTACTTAACCTTTCTCAGACTCAATATTTTCATCTGTAAAATTGACGTAATAGGGTCTACTTCATAGGTTGGTTATGAAAATTAAGTGAATTATGATCTAAAGTTTTCCATAGAAGAGTGCTTAGAGATGATAAATGTTTAACAAATATAAGTTACTTTTATTATTGTTGTGATATACCTCTTACATATTCAATCCTACGATGAATATTAGGATAGCTAGTAATAAACTATCCTTTCGTACTTCAAGGAATTTATCTGACAGTAATGTCCATGCAGCCTTTTATGGGTGTGAGTCCCTAGCTGAATGACCTTCTTCCTTCACTCTGAGATAGATCATGATAAAATTTGTGCAATAAAGTGTATGTTCAGTTGTAATGAGAGAAAAGACCAAATTTAAGATTTCATTGAGAAGAAAGGACCTGAAACAAGCCTTTTGAGGTAGGGTTTGCAAAGGCTCACGGGAAAATCTACCCCACCTCTTTCCTGCTGCTCGGAGTCTGGACATTATACATACACTCTACCTCCTGTCGGGTCTCATAGCTGTTGACTGCTGAATCAAAGGTTTGTTTCCATGCTATGTTACTTGTTTGATAATTATAGCTTGTATGATTTTGTACCTTCATCCATTAGATACTTTCAAATATTACACTAGATTTTAGTGGACATTTTTGTGTTTACTGATTTTTACCCTTTTCTTATCTGCAAATAAACACTGAATTATGTTTGCTTTTTAATTTAAATTTTTTGATTTCTGCTTTTTATAATTTAACTCAGGCATAATATCTTTGCTGCGGCCTCTTCTTCTCGATGTGGTCCCAACAATTCAACAGACTGCTGCTTTGGCTCTTGGGAGACTGGCCAATTACAGCGACGACTTAGCAGAAGCAGTTGTGAAGGGCGACATTCTTCCACAGCTTGTTTATTCACTGGCAGAGCAGAATGTAAGAATTAAAAAACAAAACTTCAATGTTATTCTTTTTGTATTTTTTAAAAAATCGATAGTTTGCACACAGTTGTAATCTTGTAAGCTTTATAATTATTAGGATGTTAATACAACCTTAAATTCTCTGAAATGTGCATACTATTTCTTAAGGCATTTTGTTTTAGGGGATTATGCGCAGTCTCTATCTGTTGTTAATGTAGAGATACAGTGCACCCTCAAGTTATGACCAGTGTGACATATGAAAAACTTGGGTCAATTAGGTCAGTGGAAGATTCATCTGCCTCTTGTTATCTATAGCGTGTACCCAGGTAAACATCCAGATCTCAGCCGTATTGACTTACTACCAACTTGAGTTACAACAGCCCTCGAGAACTGATTGAGTTCGTAAGTCACGGGTCCACTGTAATTGATTTAAGCATTTCTAGGGAATGATAAAACAGCAGTAGTTTTGTATAAAGAAATTTTAAAGATTGATAGGATCAGTCTTAGGGAAGACTGTAGGGCTCTAGGCAGACAAATCGTTGCTTTCAGCTCTCTGTACATGCAGGTGAACACTGCTACTGTATGGAGAGCCTTGAAGCCAGTTGTAGAGAGGCAACCAAAAGAAGAGAGTGAGCCTACTGGAAGGTTTGATAAAGCAGTTTTTACTAAGTAAACAAGCATGTCTTCTCCAGTGCCCCAGTATGTCCCCTTCCTGTACGAGCTATTCTGCATTTCTGTATAGTGCCACATTTGGAGGTCATGGGCTATTGATCATACTTAGCTAGTTTATCATAATGTCCTAGCAACTCAGGAGGTTGAGGTATGAAAATCATAGGCTCAAGGCCACCGTGGGCAACTTATCAAAATACAAATAATAAGGGCTGGGGATGTAGCTCACTGGTAGAGTGCTTGCCAAGCATGCACAGGACTCTTGTTTCAATTCTCAGTCCTGCAAAAACATAAGCACACACAAAAAGCAACTTGTACGCAAATATTCAAAGCAGCATTATACACAGCCAAAAAGTGAAGTCATCACAAGTCTATGAGCAGATGAGTGGATGAATGAAATGTATATCTGTACAACAAACTATTACGCAGTCATAAAATGGAGTAATGTATTGATAAATGCTACAACATGGGTGACTTAGAAAACATGCCAAGTGAAACACTCAAAAGGCCATGTGGTGTAGGATACTGGTTAGATGAAATATACGGAATATGGAAATTCATAGAGACGGAAGCAGATTGGGGGAAAGAACCAAAGTAAAAGGAATGCTTAATTTATAAGGGATTTTTTTGTGGAGTGATGAGAATATAATGGAACTAGGTAGTGGTGTGTATACAACATTATGAGTGCTTTACCTGCCATTGAATCATACATTTTGAAGCAGTATATTTTTGTGTTACATGTATTTTACCAGAATTAAATCCTAAATGTGCTAACTTTTTTTTATAAATTCTGGAATCATTTACTAATGCCACCACAAAGAATCCTGAAACTTTTATTTTTGTTGTAGATGTTTTTCCTTTATAAAATACTGTTAGACATCCTTCCCCCTGGATTCCTAACTCTTCCCTTTGAGAACAGGGTCTGTTCCTTTGTGTCACACATAGGAGATTCTCTACAGAAGTTTATTAGTTGTAAAGAAACAAAAAATACTAGGAAGAAAAGTAGAGTCATTGAGAATGCAACGTGGTATCACAAGCTTCTGTCTCTTACCTACCAGCCTATAAATCATTTCTCAGGTTTAATCTCCTCTTTATGAGGTGCACATTCCTGTAGTTTTGCTTTTGCTTTTTTTAAGGTGATTCTTTTCATGATGAATAGGAGAGAGGAGCATTATAAATTTGGAAGAAGTAAAAAGTAGGAAAAAGAGGTAGAAAATATGAATTACAGGCATCATAGTTATTAGCAACTATTGAAACCTGTAAAGGTAAATTTGACAGTTCTGCAAGTAAAAGGTCAGATTAGCTGAAAGTACTGACAATAAATGTATTATCATTTTTATACTATTAAAAGAAAATCTATTGAAAGCTACTTGAAAGCTTTACCGTAATTTTTATAACAAATCAGTGAAAATTGGGTTATTGCCATAATCTAAGAAACTAAAGACAACATAGCACATCAAAACATTAGTACTAAGATCACATATATCTTAGAGTAGCAACATATATGAGTTTTTTTTAGCTATAATGTGTTAAAAATATACCTGTGTTTTCTCTCTCTCCTATAATTCTTATGTCATTATTTTAACCTAATAGAAGCCTTCCAAAGTAGTTGCTGATATGGTTAGTTACCTAGTTACTTTTTAGTTGTCATTGTAAAGAAATAGAAATTCAGAATATAAAGTAGATTAATTGGATTTTATTCATAAAAGTTATGAGACTATTACTGTCATTTTAATCATAAAACAGCAGTTACAGTCAAAATATTCCTATAAGTTTGATTTTTTATAAAAATAGGAAGAGAAACTCTTGTATGTCAGTTTCAGTTTCTCATTTTTTAATCATAAAATTTATGTATAGGAAATATAAAGCAGTTTTTAAAATTCACATAATGGTAATTTGCTTTTCTCTTTTAAAAATATATTTCTAAAGGAGACAAATAGCTTACATCTCATTGTTTAGCTTATTTATTTGCCAGGAGAAGTTTTTAAATATCTCATGGATTTTTTTTTTTGCCTTATATGATGATTATAAGTGGAAAATGGCTATTATTTTGAGATAACTTGGGATTCCATTGGAGGCTGATTACCTGATTGGAGACCTCCAATCTCCTGACCAAAGGTATAGCAGCAGGACAACAAAAGACGAGGTCTTCACTGCATAAATAGGGGGCCCGGGGTAATCAGAGTTCTTATCTGGATAAAACACTGTCTCCTGGAGCTTGACAGTTTACTTACATATACTAATAATCCAAGAGTACCCATGAGTCAAACTGCCTTTCTGTGTAATGTAAATGCATACTATCATTGATTTATGAAGCTGTGGAATATCACTATTTATCTTTTATTTTGTAGGATTTTTTAAGTGCATGCTTCAGAGTAAAACACTTCAAATGTAATTTAAAACTGGCCTTGTTTTCAGTTTAGATACTGAATGGAAGCAATTGGGGATGAAAAAAATAAAATAACTTTGCAGGATTTTTTTTTTTGCATCTTATGTATTAAAAAACAACTGAGCTTTATTTATATTAATGTCATTCCTTTTGTTCTACTTTAGATTTTGTGTATGTGAGTGCACAATTCATCTTGGATTTGCTCTCTCTTACCCTGGTAGCGTTTCTACAAGAAAGCAGCTGCCTTCGTGTTGCGAGCAGTTGGCAAACACTCTCCCCAGCGAGCTCAGGCCATAGTGGACTGTGGAGCCCTGGATGCGCTGGTGATGTGCTTGGAAGACTTTGACCCCGGAGTCAAGGAGGCTGCAGCTTGGGCACTCGGATGTATTTCAAGACATAATGCAGGCAAGGGAGTGTAATGGAAAAATGCATTTAGTAAATCCAGTTTTTAAACTTAGTAAGCTATAGGTGGGGTTTTAAGGATGCTTTTGTACATTATGAGAGATCAGTTTTAAATGGCAGTCTAGTTGTTTGGATTACATTTCAGTCTTTACCTGAGCAGAAGGGACATTAACCGAGGGAGAGAAAGGGCACAGGGGAGTGGGTTGAGTCTCAAAGACCTTGGTACTTTTGTTCAGTTGCAAAGCTTATCGTGGTCTGCAGCTCTCACTGGTGATGGAACATTCCAGGGCAACCAGGATCCACTCCACAGGCTGGAGTGACAACACAGACATCACTGGAGAAAGAGTGTGTGTTCCACTCCTGTTGGGTTGGAAGGAGGCGGAGCAGAGGCGCCTTCTCCTAAAGGCTGGGATCTCAGAACTGCGACTTCTTGGGAAAAGGCTTGCTGATACCCAAATGCTAAGAATCACCCTACCACTTACAGAAGTTACTTATGAACAACAAATAGCAAAATACAAAATGGAGTTCTCTATACACATGTAAAAAAAGTTAATAGCAATCAATGAACTGCAGTTTAAAACATCAACAAAATATCTTTTCCATCTATGATTATAGAGTAGGGAAATGGCAATATAGTCAAGTGGTTAAGAGCACTGTGGCATTAGATAGCATTCAAGTGTGAGTCCAAGTACTGCCACTTAGTTGCTGTGTGTCTTTGGATGTGGCTTTTAAACTTTGTGGACCTTACCTTCTCCATTGTCAAAAGAGGCTAGCTAATGATAATTACTTAAGAGATATCTTATGAGGATGAGGAAGTAAACCAGCACTTGGCATATGCTGAGTACTCAGCAAATGGAAGATATCAGCATGAATATCTAATATTGAATGGTACATTATAATGTTTATGACATTTAGCCAGGCACGCACCTGTAGATTAAGCTTTTGGAAGGAGAAATACAAATTTCATGAACCCATGGAAGGCAGTTTGACAGATGAAAGAGTTCATGCTTACCCTAAAAAGCCTACTTTGGAGCTGGATCTTGAGAATCCCATTGACCACCGGTTGGTGAGCTGCTTTCCTCTGCCCAGGCCCTCTTGTGTGCCACTTCTGCCTTGGACCCCACTGACCATGAAATGACTGAGACTTCTGAGACTTTGAGCCCAAATAAACTTCCCCTCTTTTTAAGTCATGAGTGCTGGTATTGTGTCCAGTAATGGGAAATTAATGAAGGAAAATTTGGTATTAAAAGTGGAGCTATTGCTGTGAATACCTGACCATATGGTTAGGAAGCTTTTGGAAGTGGTTCGTAGAATAAGTTTGGAAAGATTTAGAGATTCTGACTGTTGAAGCCCTAGAATGCTATAAGCCAAGACTTATGGGACATTATTGCAAAAGCTCAGATAGAAATTTGGAAAGTAAAGGCCTGGTTCAGGAGGTTCAGTTGGGAACAAGGACTCCACTGGCACTTAGACCTGAGGCTGCATGTATTGTGTACTGGCAGAAAATTTTTTCTACATTTTGCCCATTTCCTGAGGCTCTAGAGGGGACTGAGATTAAAGCTGGTGGACTGATTAATCTGGTAGAAGAAATTTCAAGGCAGCCCAAGGATCAGGCTATAGCTTGAGTACTTCTGGATGCTTTAAGCCAGGTTTATAGTGAAAATCAAGAGCAAAAAACCCATTTTAAAAGTTTATCATTTTGTCAGAAAGGAAAGACCTGCAAAGCTGGAGGAAAGGAGAGCAAGATTGCTAAAAAGATTAACATTACAAAAACATCCAGGACAATAGAAAAGATGTGCTGGTAGCATCTCAGGAATTAGAAAGATCCCACCCCTCACTGGCTAAAGGTTATATAGTACTTACAACTACAGCCTCCCCCTCTCTTACTCTCTCCCTCCCCAACTTCCTCCTTCCTTCTTCCCTTCTCCTCTTCCTCTCCCTTCTGCCTCCTTCCCTGCCTGCTCAACACCTTCTTCCTTTCAGTACTGGGTTTGAAGCCAGCCCTTTGTATGAAATGACTGGTTGGCTGTTTAGCTCACACGTGGTAAACTCAAATAACCACAAGCTGGGACAAGTGACTAAATCATGTGAGGTCAGAATGGGTAGAGAAACAGGGAGTGGGGAATAGCAGTTCAGTGGAAAAGTTGAGGTACCACACAAGGAGCAGTAGTTCCTCAGCTTTAGCCCCAAGTGTCCATGAAGGTCCTGCTACTGTCAGACCTTTTAATGTGAACCTGCCTGGATTTTACTGTTGGCAACCTTATTTTTCAAAGAACTCTAAGACAACATAATGCAGGTCAAATAAAACATTCTAATATATACCTACATATATTAGATATATATCTTATGTAAACATTAACATTTATATAAGAATGTATCTCAGTTGCAAATCTCATTTTTCTTTCTTTTGGTACTGGAGATCAAACTCGGGACCTTGCACTTGTGAGGCAGGTGGTGAAACTACTGAGCTAAATCCCCAGTGCAAATCTCATTTTTGAAAGTCTTTTTAATGCACAATGAAAACATAGCTTTTCATTTTGTATAAATTATTTCTAAATATTAAAAATCTTATATGATGCAAGAAATTTAAAAGTTGACATTATTGGCACAATATTCATGTTAATGCTTGCTCATAAATAGCACAAAATGCTGCCTAATTAGTTTAGTTGGTAAACTTTCGGTACTTTCTTTCTCTTCTAAAGCATACATAAAACGCTTGCCTATTGAGAAGTGCAGAATTGTCAGAGCTTAAACAGCTGACATCTGCTTGTACTCATTAAAAAAAAAAAAAGAAATATATAACAAGCTATTCCAGCCAAACCCAGCTCAGATGTGCTCAGGTAACGGAGGCCCATCTGTTGACCTGTGTGCTTTTCAGCTTAGGATTGGTCCATATGGTTTGTAAAACCAGAAAGGCTGACTTGAAATGCAGATGTTGACTGTGAAGTAGCCCCCCTTTTCCTTTGCCGTGTCTGTCAGGGTGAGGCTCAGTCACCCCGACTCACTTTCCTTGGCCCACAGAACTTTCACAAGCCGTGGTGGATGTGGGAGCTGTCCCTCTTTTAGTACTGTGTGTTCAGGAGCCAGAAGTCGCTTTGAAAAGGATTGCCTCTTCGGCCCTTGGTGACATTTCAAAGCACTCTCCAGAGCTAGCGCAGACAGCAGTGGACGCAGGAGCCATCGCTCACCTAGCCCAGATGATCCTCAACCCTGATGCTAAATTGAAGGTATTTTACTATATGGTCATGTGGTAAACAAACCGGCCTCTGCATAATATAACGGAAAGGAAATGGTACAGATTCGTATTATATAGCTAAAAAATAATTAGTAAGTCATCACTGAAAACACAAACATGTATGTCACCAATCTTTTAAATATGAAAATAATGCTGTAATAGGGAAGGGAGGAGGGGTGAAGGGAGGGAAGGTACAAAGGGAAAAAATGAGAACCAAGACCTGTCATGTAAGGGCACAAGATCCCAATGATGTACTGTATACCTGAAATGTACCAATAAACTCAATGAGAAAAAAAATAATGCTGTAAGTACTAGACAATGAAGATGTGATTGGTAAAATTATGTGCAATGTTGAAAATTAAAAGTAGCATCAGTGTTAGCATCAATAATTAAAATAAATCAAATCTCAGGGATGGAAGGGAACTAAGATTTTTAAGGCTCCCTCCGTAGTATTCAAGTTTCTTGTGACAGTGGTCATACTTCAGTTAATAGTAATCAATTATGCCTTTGTATTCTAATAATTATATTCTAGAATTTAAAAATTGTTAATGTTAACTACACAACGGAGAAGTTATTTGAAATAGTGTCAATATCGTGCTAAAAATAAATGTTCTGCTTAATCATTTTTGTACTACATTCCCACATATATCATAAATTAGCTTCACAAGAAAATAGTGTTCATCCAACGATTATATTTTTTAATCACCTACAATACAGTTTTTAAATAGAGCCAATTTGGAAATTAGAGAATTTTAAAAAGATGAGTATGAGACTAGGTTGTTAAATCCTCAAAACTTGGAATGTTCTGTTAGAGATGTTTCTCCCTTCTTCAGAGGACTTTGGCTCTGTATAAAGCTGCTTCAATTACACCTGAACTCTGCAGTGAACTAGTGGGCTCCACATAGTAACATTTTGTTTTGTTTTCTGCTTAACAGCACCAGGTCCTTTCAGCTCTTGGTCAGATTGCAAAACACTCTGTGGATCTGGCAGAAATGGTTGTTGAAGCAGAGATTTTTCCAGTTGTGCTGACCTGTCTGAAGGACAAAGATGAATACGTGAAGAAAAGTGCTTGCACTTTAATTAGAGAGATTGCAAAACATACACCAGAGGTGAAAAAGATTTTTATTTCATTCATTTATTTGTTTGTTTGTTTGTTTGTTTGTTTTTTGAGTACCAGGGATTGAACTCAGGTCCTTGCGCTTACAAGGCAGTCCACCAAACCACTGAGTTAAATCCCTGGCCCGAAAAAGATTTTTAAAATGCTTCAAGACAGGATAACACATAGTTTTAGTTTTTAAATAAAGCATCAACTTGTTTCAGGAGCGGCAGGGTTTTGCTCTGTGGCCTGGCTAGGTCGGGGCTCTCCCATGGTTAGCAGTAACCACATTATGGACTAGGTAATTGTTTGTGGGGTGAGCTGTTCTGTACCTTGCAGAATTGCCCCTTAGCAGCATCCCTGCTCACTGGGTGCCAGTAGCACCCCTCGGGGACAATTGGAAATGGCACCACATTGCAGATGTTCCCCAGTGGACAAACTTCCCCTCCATTGAGGGGAAATGTAATATATAGATAAATAATATTATTATTTATATATGTTTATATCACATTTATTATATATGATATAATAATATAATAAAACCACTGGGTTATATCACTGGAGTTCAAATTAAAATCTCAGTCCCCAGTCATTTCCAGCTTTCCATTTCTAGACTGTGGAACCTGTGGGCGTCCGTAATCCTTGTCACTTTATGTCTGCCAGGAGCAGGGAGGATATCACACCTCCAGGCTGACACAGACACAGACCCCCGCCTGTACGTCCATGCTCGGAGCTGGTCTTACACGGGGAGCCTCTGCTCCGAGTTCTTAAGGGAAGAGACAGAGCAAGCCCGTGTTGATTTCTGAAGTGGTGTCTTCCCAACATATATTTGGACTCATCAATTTTCATACATTATATGTTAAAATCCTCTTCTCCTTGTTTCATCTAAGATCTTTATTTAGTTTAGGTTTTTCCAAGTGGCAGTGCAAAGGTTAGCGCGTTTCCAGTCTGACATTGTCTTTGACGTTTGGGAATCGCTCACACACTGACTGGGGCTTTCAGTAGTTAGTTCTGAGCTGGCCCTAGGCGTGGTGTCTTGGTGCAGAGTTTTGATGTGTTGCACTAGGGATAAAAGTGGTGCTATCGATGGACTTAAAAAATGAACCATAGAGTAAAGTCTCTCACAGAGAGAAATTTATGTATTTGAAATGGCAGGATATAATCTTTTATGTTTCTTTTAATAAATATAGTAGTTTCTTTAAATGTTATTTCAGTTTTACCAGATCCTAAATAAAGCATAACCATGCTCAACTAAAGATCATCTTATCTTTCTGTGCCGATTATTTTGCCCTGGTTCTCGCCTCTTAGCTTTCACAGCTGATCGTTAACACGGGAGGGGTGGCCGCCGTGACCGACTGCATTGGGACCTGCAGAGGGAACGTCCGGCTGCCTGGCATCATGATGCTCGGCTACGTGGCCGCGCATTCCGAGAACCTGGCCATGGCGGTGATCATTTCCAAGGTGCGTTCTTGCTTCATTTCTCCTCCTTACTGCAGTCAGACGTTCGAAGACAGAGCCACAGGTGGACGATATTCCCCAGGATTATAAAATATAACTGGATGCAGCAGCAGATTGCTTTCAAGTCTACTTTTATTCTCAGACTTTTTTATATTTGAGAAAAAGGTAATCCTATTAAGGATTCTAAATTAATTTTTTTAACAAAGGAAAGTAAAACTTTTTAAAATATTAAATGTTTTTGGTTTGTCCCAGTAGAATATGGTTTTGCCTCATCTTTGTCATCTGTGGTTTGGTGAAATGTCCCTGCCTGCTGGGAAATAGCTACAGATAATTAAAGTAATCTAGGTCTAGTCATTTTATTTTTTTAACTTAAGAAGTGGCAGCCCCTGTAACATGCTTGTTTATTGAGCAATTTAGGGGGAAAAAAAAGATACAGGCTGACATGATTTCTTCTAAGGTTTGAGAGACGTGGAAGACTCTGTAATCCCGCTCTAGGGTCATAACGCTGGCTCCCTCAACCCCCTCTGCAGGGTGTACCCCAGTTGTCAATCTGCCTGTCAGAGGAACCAGAGGATCACATTAAGGCCGCCACCGCCTGGGCCTTAGGCCAGATTGGGCGACACACTTCGGAACATGCACGGGCTGTCGCCGTCACAAATACTTTGCCGGTTTTGCTTTCTTTGTACATGTCGGCAGGAAGTTCTGAGGATCTGCAGATGAAAGTAAGGATAGTTCTATGAAGATCTGTCCGATTTTGACTCATTTTAAAAATATGTAATTTAAAATATTTAATCCTTGTGGATAATATTCCTTTTATGAGTCCAAAAATACAGATTTGTTTCAAAAATTATAAAGCTCTTTTGTATGTTTTGTTTTGTTTTTCATGCTTTAAACACAAGATATATGGAGCAATGCATGCCTTTCCTGTAGGGGTTGGGAAAACGCTCTCATATTTTCTTCCACTCGGTAATGGCCTGAGCCATGCTGTGCTGTGGGGTGGACCATCTGTCATGTGGTCCACCAGTAGCAGGACATCTCTCCATTTAGTGATCTTTTGTAGTGTCTTATTAAAGTTGAACTGAGACCAAAAAAAAAAAAAAAATGAGTCCAAAAGAATTTAAGGTGCTTTTCCAATGTAAAATGTAAGCAGGTGAGGTATTTCCCAAGCTATATAATTTACCTCATACCTCTCCTAGCTCTGATCTTTCAATTATGTGTTATGTTTATTCCTTAAAATATTGTCCATGAGAAACAATTTGAATAGGCATTTCATCAAAGAAGACATAGAAATGACCACCGACACATGAAGAGATGCTCAACATCATTGGCCACTAGGGAAATATAAAACAGAACTATAATGCGCTATTGACACCTCCAAGAATTCTGTTATTAATAAGACAGACAATAATAGTTATTGACCACCATATACAGAACCCTCTTACACTGCAAGTGGGAACGTAAAACGTTGCCATCATGTTGAAAAATATTTTAGCCATTTCTTAAAATAAAAACATAAATTTATCATCATTTCTCAACAACCCTGCTCCTAGACATGAAAAATGAAAATGCTGGTGTTATGGCTTACACCTGTATCTCCTCAAAGCCTCATTCTCTCATAGGTGGGGCTTTGGGGAGTGGCTGGATCATGGGTGTGTGGTACTAGATTAGTCCTCTTATTGGTTTACCATAGCTCTGGGTCTGACTGAATGGACTTACTGGAAAAGGAAGACCTAGGGTGTGAATGGCACCAACCAATAGGGTTGTAGCCTTGGTGGGATGAAAATGGAAGAGCGGGGAATGGGAAAAAAAGGAGAACCACGATGTCATGTAAGGGTACAAGATCCCAGTGACGAATGTGACTGTACTGTACACCTAAAAAGTACCAATAAACTCAATAAGATTAAATAAATAGGCAAATAAATCAACAAGAAAACTTTCTTAGACTCCAAAAATTAAAAAACAAACAAAGAAGAGAAATCAGAAGCTAGACTGCTGCTTCCTGCCTGCTTTGCTACAAGCTCTTTCTCTTAAAATGAGTGATTTAGGATGTGTAAAACTATGCCTCCTCCAGTAAAGCCATAAAAATACCCTGAGTTCAAAAATAGATGTATATAAGTCTATAAGAAAATGTTAATATTTCTTTCATGCTGGTAAATAAAACTAATTATTAATCATAACACACATTCCTATGCATGAGAATGCAGTCATACATTGAGTAATTTCTTCCAGATGAAGGACAGCAAAGTTCAATGAATTTGCAGCAGCAGCCTCCTCTGTAGAGTTCCTGACTAATAACTTGACAATATGTCATAAATTTGGAACTGGTAAAGTAGGACTGCATGCATAGTATAGTGATGTGGCTTCTGATGCACAGGTATTAGGCCTTGTCCCCAGTGGCAATGAAGTCTGTGGCTTGGGAAGGTCGCTAAGACTTAAGATGGTTCACAAAGATTCACTCTAACCAGAGGTGTTGGGATTTGAGAGTTTAATTCTAAATCATACTAGTGACAAAGAGTTGGGCTGCATGTCTTACCTTTCTATTTAGTAAATTTATGAAACAATGTTGAAGGACAAAGGTACCAAGAAATAAGTTAAGCAGGAATGCTCAATTGGGATATCTAAAAAACTTTAAATTAAAAAGATTCTTTAATTACAGCTGAAACAGGCTGAATGTTTTCACTTGATCCATGTATCTGTTATAAAATCTATGATATGAATTGATTTCAAGAGCATTGCTAAACATTGAGTAACAAGATCATAATCCCAGAAAACCATGTTGTCTAAGTCCTTGTAGAGAGACTAGGTGAGCACAGCAAAGTCCTTAAGGGTGCACTGAAGTACCAAGCCAGGCATGGAATTCTAGTGGAAAATGACAAAATTTAGAGCTTCAAAAGTGAAGGGGCAGCTTGTGATACGAAGAAACAGAATCACAACTCGCCATGGCCTTAGAGCTGGCTGCAGTGACGTGTTACATCCACAGTCAATGAAGCCCTTCTTTGACCGCATGTGAGCAGGGGGACAGAACCACCTAGTGTCACTAGGAAGTAGAGGGTGCAGGAGGAGAGGGAAAGGAACAGGTGAACTATCCTTTGCCTCTGGCGATCCACTCTATATTGTGAGAGGAGCTTTTCTGAACAGTGGAGTAGATCCTACCTGTTTACTTCCTCTTGAGAGTGAGGAAATTTCTACCCATAAACTACGGCAGCAGGCTGCAGATGACACTGAGTATGTGTACAGTAGACATTTCTAGTTGCATTCAGAGAAGCTGTGGTATCTTTTGGGGAATACAGAATGCCTTATAATGAAACTCTCTGGCTATTTTAGTTATCTCATACTTTCATATGTACATATTTTTCACCAGTATGTCAAGTACATATTAAGTTACACTTTATGACTTTATGCTTTATAATTTTAATTTCCTCATAGCTATTTTAAGAGCTCAGTAATACACCATACGTTGTAAAGTTTAACATAAAACTAACTGGTAGGGTACTCTGTGATAAAACCAATAAAAAATAAGAGTGTTTAAGAAAACTATTTTTATAAGTGAAATGACTGCAGGTAAGACCAGCAAAATTGATTTTATCTTCGAATTCCAGGAATGTGAGACATGAATTCTTATCTGGCTTTCATTGATTACTCACTTTTGTGTGTTTTTTGCTTTCTATTTCAATAGTGTAAAAAAGCTATAAAGAGCATCCTACAAAAATGCACCTACTTACCAGCCCTGGAGCCATTTCTGTACGACGCGCCTCCAAATATTCTGAAGCATGTGCTGGGACAGTTCAGTAAGGTAAGAAATGCTCTCTTGCCTCACTGCCTGAAAGAAGGGGAGGAAAATGAAAATGATTTGTTGCCTTATTTTTTTCTGTTTTCTTTCTTCTGTCAGTTTGTTTTCTTCTGTAGGATGGGGTTCTGGGTTTTCCTACTTAACACATCAGTCTGTAGCGACAAGCGTAACACAGGTGTATAAAGTCCATATGTAAATAGAGTACTTCCTTCCTGCTTGCGTTTTCTCACATCCTCTGTCCTGTCTTTTTTCATGTTCTCAGGAGGTAAATTGTATGTCAACACACAAGAACCTCATAATACAAATACTTTTTTGTGGTAAGTAATTTCTAGTCATTTTTCCAGTGTCTTTTAGTTCCACTCACGGGGGAGCACAGCGATGCCCTTACCAAGAGAAGGGAAAAGGTCTCTGAGCCCCAAACATGTATTTCACAAAGTCCATGCACCTTACTGGAGATGCTCCCAGTGAGTCATGTGGGGAACTTTGATTTTTTCATGAACAGTTTTAACCAGTGCAGCTGTCATATTTCTGACACTGTTGCAGGTTAAGTGGTAGTAAGCAGTAGTAAGGTAGAAAGGCTGAGCTGCCACATGTGGGCACAGCCCACACAGCCGACTGCTGACAGACAGCAAGGCGTGAAAGAGAATATCATTAAGCATCCATTGATGTTCAGGCTGGTAACCCTATGATATCAAGAACTGGTTAAACTATGTTCATATATTTGACTTAAAATAAAGGAAGCTAGTCCTGGTAGTTCATGCCTGTAATCCAAGAGCTCTGAGAGGCTGAGGCAGGAGGATCACAAATTCAAGCCTAACTCGGACAACTGAGTAAGACCCTGTCTTAAAATTTTAAAAAAAGAGCTGAAGGAGTACTTTAATTCATAGGTCCTGGGTTCAATCCCCAATACTGCAAAATAAAAAACAACAGAGAGAGGGAGAGAAGAAAGCAGGGGAGAGGGAGAGAGAGAGAGAGAGAGAGAGAGAGAGAGAGAGAGAGAGAGAGAGAGAATATGAATGAAGTCTGCACAAGTCCCATACCACGGTGGAAATGCTCACAGATCAGGATTCGGAGTGCCTGGATTCCTAATAGCTCTAATTCTTAGGCACAGTCTTGACCTCTAAACCTTAGGTTGGCTACCTATAAAATGGGAACAATAGTACTCATTTCATAGGATCATGGTAAAGATTAAACAAGATATTGAATATTAAGAGAGTAGATCATAGGGCTGAGGATTTGGCTCAGTGGTTCCAGCACCTGCCTTGCAAGCCCAAGGGCCCAAGTCCGATCCCCGGTACAAAAAAAAAAAAAAAAGAGTGTAGATCAATCCCAGGAATATATTAAACACTAATAAATTAGAAGTTGTTTTAAAGAAATGAAACATGCAAATGGTTAAGGCTAATTTTTTAATGATAGAAGAGGACAGATTTATTTGAAAATCAGTCATAATGTAACATGAATGTAGTGCTGTGGTTTGTACTCCACATTTGACGGATGGTGAATATGAACTACAGGCCCACTCTGCTCCTAGTCTTCAGCTCTTTGAGCTTCTTCTGTGGTCATCAACAGCTTGGCTTACCCTCGAGCTCCTCTGCTACTGGAAAATGGGTTTTCCATTGCCAAAGCCACTGCTGATTACATTCTGAGTATCATGCACACCTTCTGTCTACTTCCTTGCAGGAAAATAATGAACCTTTCTTTGTCTCTTAGCTATATGATGTTTGAGAGATATAAACAAATAATGCAAGGAAAAGAGAGAAATTACTGCAAGGAGAGAATCAGTTTCTTCCTTTTGTGTACTCTTGGTTGCTAAGAAAGAAACTGGCTGCCTAATTTGACCATCTAGGAGGGAGAAGGGGTAAGGGCTGGATCATCTGTAGGCAGTCATCAGCTCTTAAAAAGGGGCCATTGACATTACTTTGAAAGTTTCATGTTATAGTTTAGTCTAGTGCATAATACTAGTTTTACTGAACTTGCTATGAAAATGAACATTAATCTCTTTTAACAGTTCAAAATAAGTAAATAAAAACCAGTAGGATTTGTGGAAGTTAGCCGTTATCAAATAAAGGTCACAATGTATATCATATACTCTTAGAGAATATTTGCAGAATTTTCTACTTTCTTAAAGGGTTCTTAAAGAATGTAACACATGAGTTAAGTTAAACAAAGAATAAGTCTTAACCAGACAAAAGAGTAGCAGTTTGATGTGTGTGTGAAGGTGTCCTCGGGACAGGAGACAGCACAGGCACTAAGAGGAGACCCGACACGCATGCCTTGATGTTGCAGATGCGAAATCTGGGATGGAGACCGGTGGGAGGGGCCTGGAGAGGTATTCGGGAGCTGGGTGGCAAGGAGCCCTGGTGCTGTGTGAAGGAGCTCGCCTAGTTTAGTAGGTAGTGAGTGGACAGGCCCAGTGGGAGTAACTGTTCGTTTTACATTCCGCGTGGGTCTCCTTTGCTCGCATTCCTTGCCTCATTCCATCTCCGTGACATAAAAAGTTCAAACACTTCTACAAAGAATGCGTTGCAGCTCCAGTCATCCACAGATTTGGGCTCATTTTCTTGTGGGCTTGTGGAACATAAATTGTTATCTATATTTTCTCAGGTAAATTGTTGTTTACAACTAGCCATAATCTAACTTGGGAAAGAAAACCTGACATTTTTATTGCTTCACTCTTCAAGGTGCTGCCACATGATAGCGAAGCTCGTCGACTTTTTGTAACCAGTGGTGGACTTAAAAAAGTTCAAGAGATACAAGCAGAACCCGGTTCTCTCCTTCAAGAATACATCAACAGTATTAACAACTGTTACCCAGAGGAAGTAGTAAGGTGAGGAACACGCAGCTTGAGAGGGTCCGTAGTAAATGCGGCGTCTTGGTTAAGATACTCCACGAGGCGCGTGGGCAGCTTCGACTCCAGCTTGATCTCCTTTCCTCGCAATTACATAAAATAATTATGTTCTCATGAACACACATCTTCAAACAACCGGGAATATCATTAAAGACATTTCTGTACTAAAATATGGTTTACAAAAGAATACTCAAATGCAGAGTTCAAATTAAATTAGCAATTTTAAAATTGTGAGACCCTGATTTAGAAGAGGCCTATACATTCTGGTTTTCATGGATCCCTGCTTATCTCTCTTCTTAGGCTCACATTCGTACGAATAGAAGTATTGCAATTAGAAAAGAAATACTGAATAATGAAAGTTATAATCTAAATGGAAAAAATGAATATTTTTATGATAGGCAGGTAACTATAGCAGGAAGTAATATGACAAAAATGTTCAGGATTTTTTTTTTTTTTTTCAGTGCTGAGAAACTCAGAGACTTCCATAGGCTCGGCAAGAGCTGGTCCACTAAGGTGTACCCCCAGCTCAGATTATTCTCTCTAAAATTTAAATGAAGTCATTTTGGAGAACACTAAATATAAGCCAAACTGAAGACTCACTTCTTGTAAGGCTAGAGAACTATTTTATTAAACTCCCCCACAAGCAAAGTTACCAAGAAAAAATTAAACATGCTTAAAACTACTGAGTCTTGAAAAATGCCCAGAAATCATGTAAATAAAAGGCATATTTACTTATATTTTTCTAATCTTACATTTGTTTTCTTCTCACTCATATTAGAAAATATAAATTCCAGTTATTAAAATTTATGTTATATATGAATTACAACTTTTATCATTTATAGTTCCTATTTGACACCAGAGATTTTCAGTTTTAATTAATCAATTAATTTATTATTTTGGGTTTTGAGAGCAGGTCTTGCCGCGTAGTTTAGGCCGGCCTGGAATGTGCGGTTCCCCTTGAATGCTGGGATGACTAGTGTGTGTCACTGTCCCACAAGCACAGGATACTTATTTTAAAAGCACACAACTGTATAAGTGAATGGAAACCATTTTATTCTCAAACATAGTTTTGCGTTTAACCAAAGGACTCATACGCAGGAGGAATTCACTCCAGGAAATATTTCTGTATGATTTGTATTGGTGCACGGTGAGTCCATTCACCGTGAGGATCTGTGCACGAACACGACATGTCTTAATTTGTTTTCATTCTCTTCCCTTCTCCCTCTCCTCCTCCCATCTCTTGGTCACCTTTCCTTTTTCAAAAGATTTTTTACTGTTCTCTTTTGGAACTCATCATTTCATTTTTCTTTCTCTACTTAAACAGCTTTAAGTAAATAACATTTAATTTTGCACTAATATTGCAGAAGCTTTGTAGTGGTACGTAGCCACTTTCAGTTTTCACTGTTTTGATGACAAAATGCATAATGAGCAATTTTTACTTTATTTTGCAGAAATCAATGAGTAAATAAGGTTATTCTGGTTAGATTTATATTGACTCTAGCATAACAGAGTACTGCTACTGAGGGAGAATCCCACACTTTTTCCTGAGGACAAGCTGCTTTTGAATTCCTTAGCACCAGATAGACTGTAGCTGGCATGGACTCTCTGACAGTCAGTGGACAGTTTGGCCTATGTATTTATCCGTCTGCCTTCTGAAATACATATGTCTGTATGCACTTATAGGAAGTCAGGCTGTGCTAAGTGTATATGTGTTCTGATCATGCAAGTGAGGGAGGTAAGTACAGGGCACATTTTCTTTCTTGTGGGGATCCTAGAGACCGTGAAGTATCTGAGGCCTTAGAAGAAAAAGGTAAGACTATGGCAGTTAGCTTGGAAATAAGCCAGGTAAAGCCTCAAGATTTATTGGTAGATTCTAGCTGATTTATTGGGGACCGTCATTTTAAATTAACAGCACCCGATAGAAATATGTGAGCCACATGTGTAATTTCACATTTTCTGGTAGCCAGAAAATGCTTTAAAAGGTAAAATGAATTAGGATAAATAAAATTTAGTGATTTAAAAATCCAATATATCCAAATATTATAATTTCAGCTTGTGATCAATATAACATTTATTAATGCATTACTTTGTATTTTTATGATATCACTTCAGCACATCTCTGTGTAGATACTAAAGCCACTGGGTGTATTTGACCTGTATTTAGATTACATAAAATTTACAGTTGAAAAAGTTGACTCATAAGATATTTCAAACACACCAAACATTCTTCAGTAACTGAATTGGGTGTTGGTTTTAGAATTTAATTAAATATAAAATTTAATTTCTCAAACACACTTGCCATGTTTTCTAGTGTCAACCTCAGGTGCTTAAATGGCACAATTTTTCAAGATTTTTTTAAAGAAAAAAATCTACCTGTTGCATTTATATAAAAAGTACTTTTCTTATATCTGACACATTTATAAGGCCTAGACAGGTGAGGGAGGCTTTAAATTTTAATTCAAACTGAGGGAGAGACAATTGTGAACTCCTCAGTGCAAGAATATTATGACGAGCCTGGCGTGGTGGCACACACCTGTAATCCCAGCACTCAGGAGGCTGAGTCAGGATGATCACTGTGAGTTCGAGACCAGCCTGGGCTACACAGTGAGTTCCAGGTCAGTCTCAACTGCATAGTAAGACCCTGTCTCAAAAAACAAATTATTATGGAAAAATCCCCTATTGACAGTCTTTTCAAGGACAGCAGGCCTTTTGAGGAGAGACATTCTATAGCTTTTTATGTACATGTGAATTTCTAGTTAACAGGGACTATGTATAAGCACTCTATTATTTGGCCTACTTTGATAAATGGTGAAAAAAAATTTAGTGTAATGCACACTGGGAGTTTTCAAGTCAAGCATCTATACATAGAAGTAGATAACAAAGGACAAAGTGAGCCCCTAACACTATATTTTATTTAGAGAAAACACTTTGCAGGAGGTTATAACTACCTCAGGTTTTAAAATCCATTTCTTATGTATGTTAGAATGCTTGCGAAGTATTATTTCACAGGTTTTTATATGCATGTGAGTTTTTCTATGTCGTATCAAACATCCTACAGTCCTTTATTAATCAACATATTTAGTATGTTCCTACTAAATCTTTCATAAAATGATCAGTTTATAGGTATAAATTTCTAGTACTATGTATGTATAAGAACAAGTGCTTAATTTCCTAGGTTTATATAATGCTAATATTTGCAAGCTATTTATTAATAATTTTAATATGAATTTTTGTTTTAATGGATGACCAGATCTGATTAGAGCATAGATTAAGAAATAATTTGTAAGGCAAGCAGAACGCAGAAGTTGATTAGCAGTGATAGGTGTGTGGTCTAACTTTTGAAAAAATCTATCGGGTATGACTTTTAAAGCAATATTAGTCACTTAATATAATAAAAATAAAGTCTCTGCAATAAGATATTGTCACTGGGTTGAAGCCTTTTGCTCCGAAACTGTCCCCTGTGCCATGACATTTAGGAACCTTCGAGAGTTTGTGCAGAGAGCATTCCCGGAACCTGGTTATCCAGGGCACGCGAGGTTTCACTCACAGCATTGTGTCAGATCAGTTTCTTATTTAGAACCCTTCGGCTGACTCTGCTGAATCTTGGATAAATATCTAACAGCAGATTTTCTTTTCCAGGTACTATTCCCCAGGATACTCAGACACACTTCTGCAGAGAGTGGAGAGCTACCAGCCACTTACTAATTAAGCATAGTCGTCTTTTTATACCAAAATTCACGGCGGATTTTCATGAGTAACATTTGTTAAAATCCTTTCTAAATATTTGAACTAAATACATTCTAAATTTATTCAGTGTGAAATACCTTTAGATACAATATTTTCAAAGTTTGTGTAACACTTTAAAAATTAGCACCTTGAATATGTGAAGAACTGTTCATAATAATTTGCATGCATAGGATTTGTTCAAAAGGTAAATTTTAAGTAGTAAACTTTTAAGACATGTTATTTTTCTACTAAAAATAAGAGAGACAGAAAGGGAGAGAAAGAGAGAGAGGGAGGGAAGGGGAGGGAGGGAGGGAGGGAGAGAGAGAGACTTCAACTAGATGCAGGAAAGAGGTGGTGTTCAAAACCCTTTTCTGAGCAGAAGGGACATAGTTCGAAGAGGACAGGAATATGGGGCCCTTGAAGGAGGCTCTGATGCTGGTTGCATGAATGCGTTACCCTGCAGCATAGAATCTGCTGGCAGGTTCAAACTGCAGGGTTTTCCTAGGAATTTAGGAAGGGACTCCTCTTACCACAGCCTTCCTCAAACATTCCTTACATTTCATGAGGCTGCAGAGGGTTGAAGTCATTGTTAGGCATGCTCCTCTTATATACATGCTCTTCGACCTCATGGAAAGGTTTCACATTCATCACGAACAAACAGGAAAGCTGGTAAGGTCAGTTCTCAGTGTTCCTGTATCCTGGGCTGTTCGTATTCCCCAATGTCAAAAGTCTCTTTGGGGGGATTTAAGAAATACTTTGAAAAGAAACCACGAAGCTCAGACTTTACACCTGTTTTCACCCAGAAGGATATAAAGGGGTAAACTAAAGGAGATATCAATAAAATTTTAAATTAAAAAGCATTAGAATTGTCCTTTTTATATTTCTTATCTAGTGTTTTTCTGGCCTTGGGAATCTGTGATTGTATTTAGGAGTCTTGGTTACTTGGGGTGTGTGTGTGTGTGTCTTTTGAGCTAAACAAAGATTATTGCTTTTATGACCTGTGCTAGAGGCTCTCCTGCACCTCCCTCTCTCCTTCCCTCCCTCCCTCTCTTTCTTTCTCTCTCTCTCTCTCTCTCACACACACACACAAACACACACACACACACACACACACACACACACACACACACTCAGAACAAGGATTTGGCACCAGTCTTATACTGAAGGGCCTTGGAAGCTCCCTGGAGAGTAGCTGGTGTGAGTCTGCATTGGAAACTAAAGAAAGTGAAGTCTGATAGCCTCAGGTGAAGACAGCAAGAAATGCACCCCTTTAAGCAGAATAGAACTCTTCAAAATACACATTAACTTTCTTCTTTCCTTTTATTCTATCCAAGATACGAGCCTATTGGTTGGTGCCACCCACAACCAGGTTGGTTTGTTCCCCCCTCAGTTTGCTGGCCTGGATGCCAGTTATCTTTGAAAATACCCCACAGACATATCCAGAGCTATTCTTTACTAATCTGCCTACATCATTCACATAAGCAACATTTATATTCTAAGCATGTATACCATACAGGCTTAGAAACTGTACATGTTTCTTGTTATATGACCTAAAAATACTTAGCAATGAATTCAGTCAGCCTGAGTATCTTGCAGTGAAAAGAGCTATTGGAATATTAAAAAGTAAATTAAAATACTGTTTCTGCATTCACTGGGAATCAACTATATGACATTCATTGCTTGGCTCTAGTCATTTTAATTTTTTGTTTAATGACACAAAAAAGAAAACTTTCCTACAAAGCCAAAGCAAAATAAGGGTATGCTCACCCAAATGAAAATAACAGCTGATAGAAACCTAGTTTGGTAGTTGCCTAAATCAGAATTTTATGTCTTGTAACTCAACATGTTCTAAGGAAATATGTCTTTTACTGAGTTTATTTCTAAAAGAAACAAGGAACTCCAATAGGAAAGCTACTATGCCTTTATAACCAATTAAAAAAGAAATATACTTTTAATGATCAAACAAAATAGTATTTAAAAAGAAATCTTCAGGACAGACTAAGCCCATCCGAACACCCTCCCTGGGACCAACGTATCCAGACTCCTCCACACTGGTCCCCGACTTAGGCTGGCTCTCTGGTCCCACGGCCTTGTTCATGGCAGCTGGGGAAACGTGAAAGCAGTCAATACTGAGGCTATGCTCAACACTGAGGCTCAGTTCACAAGGAAGAACGCCAACACTTCTAACATACTAAATATTTATTTCTTCACATGCTCTGCTGTGTAGCAGAATCCAGCACTCTCCTCCTCCTCCCACCTTCAGGTGGCCCTTGGCAGGCTGTTCTTCATGGGCTGTGACCACACCCAGGGCAGCCCCACTGCCAGAGAGAGAGAAACCTGTCTTTGCGGGGATGCCCAGAACACGACCACAGACCTCTCTGGTGTTTCTCATCCTAAAGTGGCACGATTCATTTTAAAACCAGATCACGTCCCAGGAAGCGTCTGTGTTCACGTCTGAGCTAGGTAATGCAGAACATGTGCTGCCACGACCTGCGCAGCACAGGGTCCAAAGCCGGGAGAGCGGTGAGAGAGGAAGAAGTAACAAAGCAACCAGGACTCATTCTTGAAATTTGGGACCAGGTGGAACCATAGCTTCTTGGGAGCTAATGGCCACGTGGTGTCCCACACACTCTCTATTTCTAGTGGAAGGCAAACAGTGAGAGAAGGCGGGCCAGGTAGTGCTACTGGCCTAGTGGCCTAGGCCAAGGCACCTCGATGGTTTTGTGATCTGGCCATGCACAGATGGGAATCTGGGGGCATACCGTGTAAGTCTCCTGGGGCTGCGCCATCCAGGGTTTACAGGATTAGTCCGACAGACGGTCGACTGCCTACGCAGGACAAAGGGAGGACGGAGGAGGCCAAGGGCCATGGTGTTCAGGCCCCGTCCCAGCAATGTCTATTTTTGCCTGGGCTGCACTGCTAATTCAAACAGATGGGAGAAAAGATCCTAAAAACCAACTGTGTTAACACTGATACAGTAGTGCTATAGTTTCTACTGATTTTTCTTAGCTCCACAACCCTTTTCAGTTTTTCTGGGGATACCTGTTGTCACTAGTATAGATCTTGGCCCTCATTAACGAAATTACTATCCTTTAAAGATGGCAGTTCTTTGACTTAAAAGACAAGAGTAAGAAAGAAGACAGAATAAAACCTGAAAAACATGTACATCCTCCAATTATGGAAATTAAAATTGCCCTGTTCAAGGCAGGGGTCTCACCCAAGGAATGACAATGACACGTAATGTGGCCTGAATGCCACCACGGGGCACCAGTGAGTCATGATGGGTCCAACTAGCGCGAGGGTTAGCCGCCTCGGTATTACAAGGCTGAGCTAAATCCCCGGCCCCTTTAATTCCTTCTTATAACAAGTCTTCTAATTACAGAATTTGAATTCTTGGAATTATTTGTCAGGAATCCTCAGTTGTCTTACTGGTAGAGGTCAACTCTCTCCCTCCCTCCCTCCTTGGGTAGCCCTTGCTGATTTCTGGTTACAAATAACAGACTATCTTTTCTCGCAAAAGCCCCAGTGATGGTTCGATCTACTTTTGAGCCAGGTGGAATATAT